ATATACAAATAAAATTTCACCATAAGATTCAAATTATTACGCTTTGTGACAAAGATACAAAACATTAAAAAGGAAAAAAATATGCAATTGCATAGAAATTAGTAAAATATTAAAACTACGTTAGTATTCATTGTAATTTGCCGTTATTATTATTATTACCATACGATAATAATAAAATATGTCCATGACCAAACGCTTGATGGCCGGCGATTGATTGTCGTACAATTAGACCGTAGGATATTAATGATATTAAAAAATAAATACTCCACACGTTGTCTTAACACGTTGACTGTAGCATGGGTACAATTCAGTGATACCGGAAATTTTTGTATAAATATTTAACACACGRCAGTCCAAGAAAAACAACATAATATTAAAATATTAATATTTCATTGGCTAATTGGCTAAAAGAAAATAATCATTGAAGCTCCACATGGAGCTATTTTCGAATAAAAATTTGTAATAATAGTTTAATAATGATATATTTATAGTATAATTAATTGGTTATCTTACTTGGAAAATCGAGTAGAAATAATATAAAAATAGCTGGAATTTAAAAGGTCTACTCTATGCATTTAACATATTATYATTACAATCCGTCAATCCACATTAGTTCATGGTTATATCCTAATGTCTCGATAATATAATTTGATTATTATGAATTATTATAACTTTAATACAAATAGTTTTGGTCTATATTATACTATTATCTATAGTATATTAGTTATTGTTTTACAATGCTAAAATAGGTAGGTAGCAGTAAGTACTGCACAATTAGCGTTTTAGAACTGCACATTTTATTTTAGAACTGCACAATTTGTGTTGTMCTGCACATTAGCGCAAACCCTGACTTACTGGACAATATTAAGGTGCTTGTTCACAAGGAAAAATAATAATTAACATATAACATTAAATATCATATCAGAGTCTAAATTTTAAAACGGTTAGTAGTCAGCATACGGCAGCGAATTCTGGTCACAAAACAATGAGCAAGTAGGTACTATAAAGAGTTCATTGCTAACGTGTTGAAAAATATAAAAAAATTCGAACTGACCAGTTAAGGGTTAAAACGATTGTGACAGATGGCGCTGCCATTATCGTCCGGATCCGTTGGCCGGATGTGAAAAGTTTAAAAATTCACCAGCACAAATCGGTGTGCAATATCTATTGATGTGAGCCTCTTAAATAATTATGTATAATTTTACCGGTAAGGTACCTAAATTTACAAAAAAAAATTTACGATTTACATTTTTTTTACCGTTCAAACAGTCGAGTTAGAACTGTTTTTGTATTTTTTCTATCAAGATATTAGAATTATAATACAAAATAATCAGGATTTTTATAAAATGATAATGACCGATACGTGATACGAATTATTGTGATATCACATTACCACATAGGTATATAAGATTT